GGACTGGGGGAATTGGGGGCACTGGGAGGGACTGGAAAAGGGATTGGGGGTACTGGAGGGACTGGGAGAGACTGGACGGACTGGGGGAACTGGGAGGGGACTGGGGGAACTGGGAAGCTGAGAGGGGCAGGGGTGCACTGCAGGGAACTGGAAGGGACTGGGAGGGACCAAGGGGGTGGCACCACCTGGATCCAGTGCCCCCTGTGCCCTCTGCCCATGTCCCTGCCCTGCCCTGCAGGAGGCTGCACAGCTGCTGCAGATGCTGCAGGCGCTGCACCCGCCCCTGCACATCGACGGCAAGAGCATCAACGTGGAGTTCGCCAAGGGCTCCAAGAGGTGAGGGGGCGTGGCAGCACACCTGGGCGTGGCAGCGCACCTGGGTGTGGCAGCACACCTGGGCGTGGCACCTCACCTGGGTGTGACCCTGCACCTGGGTGTGGCACCTCGCCTGGGCATGACACCATACCTGGGCGTGGCAGCACACCTGGGCGTGGCACTGCACCTGGGTGTGACCCTGCACCTGGGTGTGGCACTGTTCCCGAAACCACCCCCACCCCATCCTGCTGTGTTCTTACACCTGGCCCAGGCCCCGCCCCTTAGCCCCACCCTGGACACAGGCTCCGCCCCCTGCACCTGGCCCAGGCCCCACCCTTGGAAACAGGCCCTGGCCCCACCCCCTGGCCCCACACCTGGCACAGGCCCCGCCCACAGCCCCAGCCCAGGGGTGTGACTGTTCCCAGGCTCCGCCCAATCCCTTAAGCCACGCCCTCCATACCCCCACAAAGCCACGCCCTCTTAGCCAATTCCCACCCCCACTGCCCTTTGGCCTGTGACCCCTGCCCTCCCCAGGTGTCCCCAGGGGTCCCCAGGTGTGGTTCCTGTCCCCAGGTGTGACCCCTGCCCTCCCCAGGTGTCCCCAGTATCCCCAGGTGTGACTCTCCAGGTGTCCCCAGTGTCCCCCGTGTCCCCAGGTGTCCCCAGGTGTGACTCCTGCCCTCCCCAGGTGTCTCCAGGTGTGGCTCCCTCTCCCCAAGTGTTCCCAGCCTTCCCTCCAGGTGTTCTCAGGTGTCCCCAAATGTGACCTTTTCTCCCCCAGGTGTCCCCAGGTGTGGTTCCCTTTCCCCCAGGTGTCCCCAGGTGTGGTTCCCTTTCCCCCAGGTGTTCCCAGCCTTCCCCCCAGGTGTCCCCAGGTGTCCCCAGATGTTCCCCACTTTCCCCTCAGGTGTCCCCAAGTACTCCCAAGCATGGTCCCCTCCCCCCCCAGGTGTCCCCAGGTGCTTCCAGGTGTGGTTCCTGTCCCCAGGTGTGACCCCTCCCCTCTCCAGGTGTCCCCAGGTGTGACCTTCCTCCCCAGAGGTGTGACCCTCTCCTCCCCAGGTGTGGCCCCTCTCCAGGTGTCCCCAGTGTCTCCAGGTGTCCCCAGCCTTCCACCCAGGTG